GGTGCAGAGGGGCATGGTGGCACGCACAGGTGTAGGTTCACACCGCACCGGTCACCCACCGCCCTTATGCCACTTTCATTCAGTGGGATGTGAGTTAAGCTTGGCAGCTGTGGTCGCCTGCACACGATCCCGGCTCCGGTCTTCTTAAAAGCCGGGCTGGGGCAGGCCGGGGAGCGCGATAGATGTTACGCAAGCTTCTTTCTCCTAAATGCAATTTCATCCTAATTGCCTTCAGCTTGGATGAGCAAGCGGTGGACATAGTCGAAACGGACGGTTGAACTGTCGTGTATGTGCCTGTCCGTAGCCTGTTTTGGGTGCCCCTTTGATGTATTTGTCCCGCTCAGGATAGTTCCTTTACATCACTAGCCCTGTACGTTAACGAACAGAGAGCTAAATAGCCAATGTATTACCGGCAAACGTTGTGACTGCGAGATACGCGTATTTTTGGGTCATTATCCGTCGTCAGTCGCAGTTACCCGACTCCAGTATTGCCACAGAAACTGCCGCTGCACTCGAGTTTCGAACCCGGGACCAGTGAGCTAGAGACGACCGTCCTATCCACTGAGCCACCGGGTCGATGTCTTGCCAGTTGTCGATCGGGATGTAGATTAGTACATAGGTGTACTCCGATTTGGTCCAGGATTCACCAACCCTGGCTTGTTTCGTCTGGCGACGTGGGGACACTTCCACTTTTTCTTAAGGACGAAACAGTCATGTTATTCGTTAACTTTAAGTTTAAGAGAGCTAAATTTAGCCACTGCAAAAAAGTAGAGCATATCGTCATATTCACTAAACTTTCAACAGGCAATTAGTAGTATATAGTGAAATTACATGGGATATCGTATTGGCAGCACAGGTACTAGCTAAGCGCCCATCAACTTCTGAGGAAATCTAAGAAAGGAAAAAGCAACAACCAACTCAGCTTCATTTAATGACTTTAGTCAGTCTGTCGCCGCGTACATCAATGAAGGCGAAATGCGAGTCTCGGGAGGTAAGTGGGAGGAAGCAGATATGACC